ATATATATTACACTACCAACTAACCAGAGACCAGTTATGCACAATCTACTTGTCGCCTGTGTGTTATAAAACTCTCATATAAGCTTCTCCCACAAATTCGATACAAAACCAATTGCATTGAACTAGGTATTCAAAAACATATATGTTTACAATTCAATTTTTGCCATCCAAACATCAAACACTCAACACTTACCGTCTTCAAAGCTACCGTCGCTGAAGTCGCAACTACCTGCAACCTGGATAGAGCATGTAGTACACAAGTTGAACATGACATCCCAATGAAAAAAGGGATACTAAATCCGCAAATGGTACAGTATTTGAATGCAACAATGGAATATAAAACATTTCGAAGCAACAAACGGCAAAAAGTTCGAGCGGGACAATGTAATACCGAACTGTTACAGAGTTTCAGCTTGAAAGGGGTGGCAACGAATGGGGGTATAGCACGAGAATAGGCGGGCTCGTGTAGAGTACTATTATGAAAGCGGTGGCCAAGGGTATGAGGGTTGCAGCATGGACACAAAGGTATGGAACCTAAACCCTAAAACCCTAAAACATAGACTTTAACACATGAACATAGAGGTGAGAAATGCAAACCCTGCAATACTAAAAGATGGACATCGAGGCGAGGAATCTGTGCATAGCACCCGTATAAAGGGCTTTATTCAGAACCACTTCATGTAACGGGTGCCCGTTCATGCCATATCGGCGCATAGATCAAAGAGTATGTTATTACATATGTCAGATAACAAAGTGGGGTTTATCATCTCCGGTATACAACTCGTGGTCTATGGATAAACGTGGTTTACGAGTGATCTCGACTGTCAGAGATTTATGAGTGTTGTAAAGTCCCTTAGTGTAGGACTCAGAGAATCAGGAATTGATGAATGAGATTGACTGTGCAACTTTTTATAGAAATGAAAAGTTGTTGGTGAATCGTTGTCGATTCCTCATGGAGAGGCAGATGGCTGGGCAAAGAATAGTCTATCCAATTGAAATGGGGGCTAAATCACAGTACACCAATAAACGACTATTTAATGTGTCTATATACAGATGATATCTAGAGTGTTTTATGTGGCCATATTAAGATGACATAGTGTTTTATGTGGCTATATACAAATGATATATAGAGTTTGATATGTCTATATACAGATGATATATGGAGTTCAACGTGTCTATATACAGAAATTATAGTGTCCAATTTGACTATGCACAAATGATATAACTCTTCAGCATGACACACATACCTCGTCGTCATCATTCTCTGATGAGCTCCAATCATCGTCACTGCTCGCAGGAGCGGCTGAAGGAAACAATGAAAAATGTGCATCAATCTATATTTAAATGGTATATGTTTAGTGGATTTATATCTAAGAATTGTTTATATTCAAATGATTTATAATCAAATAGTTTATGTTTAGAAGCTTTATATTTTAGAAATAGTTTATATTCAAATGGGTTACATTTATATGGTTTATGCTTTTAAAATGATGTATATTTTCATATCGTGTATTTCAATGGTTTATATTGATATAGTGTATATTTAAATGGTCCATATTTGAACGAGACCCTCTAAGATGGTAAAACAGCACGTGCACACAAAATGATACTGGAATAAATGCAAAGTTTTTAAATAAATAGAAAGTTGTTTTCGCATGTGATGCATACACTGACAGACTCAGACAGCAGATTCCTCACGCCGTCTATCTATCAAGGATTAACGAATACGTCATACCGGTTGCCATGGTAACCTCTGGTCCCTGGGTCTCATCTGTGGCATTTTCTTGTACTGGCTTGCTGGTACTCTGGGTGTGCTGAATACTCGCCTCAAGCGCGTTGTTCTCCGCAACAGTGGTTTGTGTCGCAATGTGATCATCCTGCACGCACCAAGCAATAGAGAGGGACTTATGGATACTACACAGTTGCCATACAAGATTTAAACCCTCATACACATACACAACTATTCAGGGGTACGTGCACATTTAGATTAGGTAGTATAGATGTACTTACACCTCCGGTATGTGTACGTTCGAGTGTATGTAGCCAAGACCAGTAGTCTCAGAGCACACAAGTTGAATAGAAGCACGCTATGTATGTTTACGTCCCAAAGTCCACTAGTTGGATACATATAGTCATTAGATCACTTCATCTCTATAACATTCGTGAATGGTGTTGTGTGTGAGCTTTGTAAACAATGCATATAGCTAGAAGATCAATTCTTCTATGTATTACTCGTGAATGGTGTTGTGTGAGCTTTGTAAACAATGCATATAGCTAGAAGATCAATTCTTCTATGTATTACTCGTGAATGGTGTTGTGCGTGAGCATTGTGAACAATACATATAGCCT